CAATCTCCATTTTTCCCATGAGACGTATGGTTTTTGTTGTGCAATTTTTGCATGGCATGGTGATTTTTAGGAATGCATAGGTCACATTATAAAGCAGAACTGACTCTGTGGGACAGAGACCATATAGCCCACGAAGCCTAACTATCCCCCACTTTATAGAAAAGACTCAATGATCCCTGCTTTAGACCATTGACTTCCACCTCTTCACCTCATACAGTCCAGAGATAGACTTAGCCACACACCAATCCAAGAAGCCAAAGCCAGTTTTATTTCACAATATTACAGTAGGATGATGGTCCTGGGCCACCCTTCTAAACCTTGTGGCCTTAGGAAAGACCTGTGTCAACAGGGCTTGCCTCCCACTCTAGACAAGGACTCAGCCACCTCCAGGGCATCCCTGCTGCATTTTCCCTGCTGGAGGATGAGGCAGAGGGATAACAGGAGAAGAGGGCTCGACCCCACCCTAGGCTGTAGCAGCTCCTCCACCACAAAGATCCTTTTGCCCATAGCAGAAGGGAGGAAAACAGCATCCACTAGGGTTATCACACACTTGTGGTATGGCCAGTTACATCCCCTTACAGTTGTGCTCAAAGCAATAAATTAAAAGGAGCCTTCAGCAGCAAAGCTGTCAATCACACAGGAGAAGCTGAGCACTAAGCAAAGCAAGGGGGATTTATAGCTTCTCTGGCTGAGGCCTAGGCCCCTCCCTCTAGGAGCAGCTGTCAGCATGGATTATATAGGGGCCTCCAAAGTACTGAGAGGAGCCATCTAGACTATTCCCCCGCTACGTGTCTATCAATCATGCGTGAAATTTCAGAGGGACCCCAATCCAAATGCAATAACCCTAGAAGAGGCAACACCTTTAAAAGGCACTAGAGCATTTTGGCAGTTGAAAACTTGAGCACCCCCAGGGGTGGGGGGGCCACTCAAAAGGAATGCTGGTGCATGTATCCAATTCTATCCCATCACCCTGGCCCACCCCCAGCTAGAGTTCGGGAAGGCGCTGCTGGTCAGATGCAGGAAGGAGAAGGAGCTTGACTAGCCACCGAAATGCAGACATGGCTGGCCCGGCCCCCTAGTGCACACTGCAGGGATAGGTAGGACCGGACCCCTTGGGCTTTGTGAAGGGGGGACAAACGTCCCTTCAGGTTTCAGACGTGGTGTGGTTTGTTCCTGGAGGCAGGGAGGTGGGTGGCAGTGGCCCCTCCTCTGCTTAGTGGCCACTCCAGAGGGCCTCTCCAGGGCTACAGGTGGATGGCCGTGACATCTGTAGGAGTGCTGGTCTGGCTGGACCCTTGGCTGCTGGAGCCCCGGGGGGTTTTGGGCGCTGGGCTGGGGCTGGTCTGAGCGGCTTCCCTGAGGCTCTCCCTGAGTGCAGTTTCGATCTGCTCCTGACAGGCCCGCAGGCAGTCCTGGGAACATGGGAGAACAGTGAAGAGTGACCACTGCCGGCAGGTGCAGGGGAACGACAGCTCCCAACACATGGGGAAGTCTGGGGAGGTTAGGCCACAGCCCAGCCCCAGGAATCGCTCTTCACTTCTCAGAAACTAGCAAGAGGATGTGGCAAGGGAGTGTGAGAGCAGCCCTGCATCTGACACCGAACCCCCACCCCCACTCCAGCACACCACTTGGCAAGAAAAGAGCCCCTAGGGCCAGTGTCCTTCACCCCACCCAGGACACTTGCCCTTCTCCAGACCAATGCAGATAAAAAGCTACAAAGACCCAAGGGTGTGAAACCAGGACTTGAGACCAGGTTGGGGTTGGAGGTTTCCCTCTACTGGAGGCTCAGGGCACAGCACTACTTTATGAATGGAGAGGCCGCTCCCCAGCTGCCCAGCACTCACCACTTCAGTGCCAGTGATCCCTGCCAGCACCTCTGTGAGCTGATCCCCGGACATGGAGCAGGCACCCAGGCCTTGCACTGCAGCCCCAATGCTGCCTGTGGCAATCATGGATGGCGGGTACATGGCAAAGGTATAATCTTGGAGAGGAGGAAAGGGAACCATGAGACAAGGAAACTTGAAGGATAACAGCCAGCGTGGACTTGCAGCTCCTCGGAAAGTGCCAGGCCGCATGAATACGGCAGAGGACATGCTGGAAAAGTCCAGCAGTGGGTGGGGCAAGATAACAGCAAGGGAGGAAGACAGGAAAGAATATCTTTCCTAGAGATCAGGACCAACTGCCAGTTTCCATGGGTCCAGGGAATAGATGAGACACTCCCCAGTGTGGGAACACAACTAAGGCCAAGAGACTGGGGTTCTGTTCCCAAACTATTCACTGTGAGACCTTGGGCAAGTCACTTCTTTCTATACCCTCAGTGTCCCTCCTACAAACTGGAGGAGCCTGAGATCCCAAGTAGCTCTGATTATGACCTGCTTTTCTGTGTTGAGACTGGGGGCTCAGAGGGGATATAATTTTCACAAATTTTGAGAGTATACACCAGAATCTCCTAATTACCTCTCACCCTTATAAATCTTCTGACTTTTCCAATTTGACACAATTGTGGACCGGGTTCTTACCTGTAGCACAGAGGGCCAAAAAGGTCTGGGCATGCTTTTTGACCAAGGCCTGTCGCTCACGGGGCACAGGGAGCCGGTGCAGAATGAGGGCCAGGAAATCATGTGCAATCACAGCAGCTAGGTCCCACTTGAGCTTCCCTAGGACCAGCACCTCCCAGTCCTGGAAAAGCAGGAAAAGGGTGGGGTCAGTGGCTGGAGAAGAGAGGAGGGAGTAAAGCAGAAGTCTCAAAGTCTCACAGCAGGGAAGCCCATCACACTTTTGAAGCCCAAGACCCCACTTCTGTTTCTAATTTTAAGGCCTGGCACCATGGAGTTCAAGGCAGGGAAGAGGAGGGGGCATATGCTTTGAGCACTTACTGATTCTTTACTAGGTGCCAGGACAACATGCTTTACATGGATTATCCCTTTTAATCCTGTTTGGTTATGTTTAAGGGGCCAATAATCCAGGCCTTCTCTTGACTTCATTCAGGGCTCTGAGGATTTCTCCAGCCAGAGCTGAAAGACTGAAGCAGCAGATACCGAAGAATCACCAGGAACTGGAGGCTCCTCTGGGATGAAGCTGACTCTCCCAACCCCAAGGATTTGTGAAAGGGGAGATCACCACTAGCTTCCCCTGCAACTCTGCATCCCAGCCAAGTCCACACTTCTTGAATCAACAGGAGGGAGTATGACTCCTCCAATGACAGCCACTGAGCCTTTTCTGAGGTTCCTCAAAGGGTAGGTTGCCCAACCCAAGCCACATCCCCTTGGTAGGATATCAGGGACGGCTCCTGAGATATAGTGCCCCCCCAACCCCTTTAGCTGGAACCTATAGTGCCCCAAGCCACTTGACTTTCAGGAGGACAGGTGGAGGCCAAGCCAGACAGGATGGATCCAAATGATCCCTGGGGCATCAAGCCCTATCTTCACCTACCCAAGCCTACCTAACAGCGCTAGGTCTTGGGAGAAGGCTGGGAGCTCCACCCCAAGCCACTCATCATGGGTTCCCAGACCTGGCCCCATATCTGAGTTGCACACATGAGGATTTCTTCATTGTTGTATCTCAGGAAGGAACTTGTGGGTTTGACTCCTTATTGAGGCAGAAATGGCAACTCCACCCAAACTCTTCCAGGCCCCAGCCACAGCTGTCTCTCTTGGCCCCAGCCTAGGTGTCAGCCTCTCAAATCAGCCCCTACCCTCGCAGAGCCCCAGAGAAAACAGCCTGGCCTGGAGCCATCAGTGAGGCAGAGAAATTACAACTCTACCTCCAGTGCATGTCCCAGGAGCCAACTCCTCACTCAGCAGTAAACAGAAGGGACCTAGCTTCTAAGGAAGCATCTGGAAGGCAACTGGGGGTGGGACCCTCCCTATGGGGAAGCAAGGGGTCGTCTGTGAGGGAAGGTGTCCACCCTTCCCCATATTCAGACAACCAGAGAATCCCAGTGTTAACTGGTAAAGAACACACCCCTGGGAGTGCTTAGCTTCAGTTTGTGACATCCCTGACTTTTAAGGTAACCTCGTCTAGCTAGAAGACCCAGATTCTACATTCATCTTCTCAGAGTGATGCTGAGGCAGGACTCTTCCCTCCTTCCTTGGGCCTCAGCCTTCTCTGCTGCACAGGGATTTGGACCAACTGGAGTTCTCAGAGGCCTCTTCTAACCCTGACCTTCTAGGAAGTCTTCTGGACATTCTACCCCCAGCTCAGGCAGAGGGAAGAGTACTTTTTGCCTGTACTGAAAAACCCTCATACGTGGGCACACACACCAACTCCATCTTTTCACAAAGAGGAAGTCCCCCTTCTACCTTCCGGCCCCAACCCCTCCAAAAACATCTTGCTCTCTGGTCCTGGAAACTAACTCCACTTCAGACTTGCCAAAATTTACCAGATTCATCACAAAGAGCTGTGGAGCCTCCTGGATTCCCAACGCTGGCCTCCTACTCCCATCTCTGAGCTACTTGGCAGGAAGAGGAATCCTGTTCCTCGACTCACAGCAGTCAGGGGCCCCAGTACCCTGGCTTCCCTGCCAGCCAATCACAGCAGCCTGCTTGCTGCCCTCCTCCCTGGGAGATGGGGCCCAGAGACTCCTCTCAGGGTCAGCAGAAGACTTGGCCGGCCACAGAGCAAGGTGGAGGAAGGTGCCAGCTCACCCACCCTCTCCCCTAGTGTCCCCCAGGAGACAATCTGCATGTCCTAAATAACCTCTTCCAGATCCAGCAGCTCCCTCACCTCCTCCCCAGGCTCCTGACACGGGACAGAACCGGTGACTTTCTGGCCCTGCCTGAGCCCAGCCCAAGTTTCCAGCAAGAGGCCCAGGGAGCCACTTCCCAAACCACAGGAGTGACAGCAGCTCCCCACAGTGTTATGAAAGACCTTGGTCAGAGAGGGCGGGCCGGGGGAGGGGGCACCATTATCACATCGGAAGCAGCTGCAGCCCACCTCCCGGTCTGTCCCTCAGCTTGGGCCTTTGGCTAAGGGGGAAAGAGAGCTGTTTCCACCAGGCCCAAAGCAGCTGCTCCAGTTCCTCAGAATGAAGACAGGGAAGGATTAGGGAGAAGCTGTCCCTTCCGGGATATCGGGATATAAGGGGAGGCAAAGAAGGTGGGATGAAATACATCAGCCCTTCTTAAAGCAATCAGGGCCTGGCTTTAATCTGCTCTGGGAGGTTTTTCTATCACAAAGTCCACATGAGGATAAAGACTCAACCAAAGCAAACCCCCTCCCCCACATGAAGCACATTCCACTCCCCTACTCCAGTGGGGGTGTGCAGGCATGCCCTTCTGCTGCCAATAAATAACTCATGGTGGCTGTGTAAACCCAGAGGCAAAGTACTAGTGAGTGTAGACATGCAGTCTGACTTGTTGCTATCTGGGGGAAAGACCAGGAAGGAGTGGCATCCCCTGGAGGTCAGGAGGAGGGGGTTTAATGCCTGCCTGCAGCTTAAACCTGGGCGGGAGTGATACTAACCATCACACCACACTTCCCCATTGTTTCCTCCACCCTAATTCCTTTCCCAAAGGTCTCTGATCACCTTGCTCCCTCTCCAGGGGGCAGAAAGCCTCTGAGGTCTTAAGCTTTCCTTTTCCTGGAAAGTGGGGAGACAGTACGTGTCAGGGGTGGGGGGAATTACACACGCACCCGCATCTGGCGGGGTGAGAGAGCGTGGTCGCTGTAGATGCACAGTTTTTCGATGGTCAGGGGCGTGGTCTCTCGCAGCTTGGAGGCCAGCAGCATGCAGACCGCACCCAGGAGCTGCAACTGCGCCTTTCGGGTGGGGACGCAGGACAGGTAGCGATCCAGGTAGTTCATGGCCAGGGGGAAGACTTCCTCCTCGCAGCGCTGCTCCTCACACACCTGGGAGAGGGCGCACAGTCACTGCTGGGGCCAGAGCGTGGGGAACACAGCAGCGGGGCGGTGGGGGGTGGGGGCGGGCGGTGAAGTGAAGTGGGATAGGGAGCAAAAACGGGAGAGAGGGTAAGCTACTTAGAGACAAGGACCAATAACGGAGGAGGATGCGCCCTCCCCGAGGTGACGCCACCCCACTTCCTGAGCGGCCTCCTCCCCTCTCCCCTTGGTGGGGTGGAGGTGGTAAAGCCGAGGAGCCCTTCCTCATGGAGGATTCCAAACGGAGACTCCCCTCCCCCACAGCGAGGGGAAGTGGGACGCAAGGGTCACCCATGGTAGCCAGAGAGCTGGGACCTCGCCCCCATCACTGCCACCACTGCACGCACCCGAGGGGAAGGGAGGAGGCTCCTGCCGCTGCCTCCCGCACTTTTCATTTCCCTGTCGGCCGGAACAGGGCGCGCGCCACCCCCACCGCCTTCCCCGCCAGAACCCCGCGACAGACACAGGAACCGGCTCCCGGGCGGGGGCGGCCGAGCCCAGGGTTTTCCAGGCGCGCTCTCCGGAGAAGGCCAGGAGGGGGAGGGAAGAGGGAGAAGCCGAAGGGGAGAGGATGTCCGTTGTCCCGCTTTCCCGGCCCAAAGAGAGGCTCAGTTAGGGTGCCAAGTGACTGGCAGTCACAGTCGGGAGGAGCCGATTAGGGCTCGGGAAGGCAAGGGAGGCAGCCGGAAAGGGTGCCCTAGTGAAAGGCCAGGCCCCGGGAGTCTTAGCCCCGGAGCATCCTGCAGATTGCTGTAGTGACTGGGATGTCCCGGCAGGGCGGCCCCGGTGTGTCCAGAGCCGGGAGCAGTGGGGTGGGGGGCGTCCGGGCGGTACCTCCAGCATCCAGTAAGCCAGCATCTTCCGCATGTGCGGCTTGATCTCCCGCTGCACGCACTGGAAGTAGGAGGTGCGGGGCACGTAGCGCTCTTCCAGGCGGAGCAGGCTTTGCAGGACACGCTGGTCCCCCAGCAGCTGCGGGTCCGGCCCGGCCCGGGGCGCCTGCCGGGTGCCTTCGCAACACAGCAGCTCCATACTCGGGCAGCGCACAGGCAGGGCAGGAGTGCGGGCTCGCGATTCCCAAGGCAGGCGGCCGTCCGGAGAGCGCGGGGCGCACGTCTGGCGCTGGCGCTGGCGCTGGCACTATGTGGCGGATCCCCAACCCGCCCGCCGCCCGCGCGCGCGCCGCTTCCCTGACAGGCGCCCCGCCCCTCGCAACGATATAGCAACAGTGGAATGCTTGGACGTCGCAACGCTTTGAGGGGCGGGGCTGCGACGCCCCGGACGGAAAGGGCTGGCTGGGCGCTCTCCCCTCCCTCTCGCGGCCCCATTGGCCCGCGGGGCGCAAGCCGGCCAGCTTCCGGGCACTCCAGGCCCTGGACCACCGGGTGCAGAGAACTTTCTAGGAGGTGGGCCTCCTCCCACCCACGGACCCTCCCATTTTGCTTCTCGAACTCTAGTCACCCAGGAAAGAATTTTTCTCCAAAGGTCATTCATTCACTTATTCATTGGTCAAACCCTACTTCACCAGCTGCTTGCTCTAAGGAATGCGATAAATAATGTCAGACCTAGTTAGTGAACGCTGCTCCAAAGCTTCACGATGTAATGACTCACTACGTCTTCACGAAGACTCCGAAACTGAGGCAACTGTCGCGATCATTCAGTTGGTCCATGGCAGAGCTAGGATTGGGAAGCTGGCCTTCCTTCTCCAGATTCTGTACTCTACACCATTGTTAAACTGTGATCCCACACCCCACACTTGTCCTGTGTGTGGGCATCGCCTGGGAGCTGGTTAGAAATGCAGACTGTCAGGCCCACCGTTAACCTGAATCAGAATCTGCATCTTTTTTTTTTTGAAACGGAGTTTCGTTCTTGTTACCCAGGCTGGAGTGCAATGGCCTGATCTCGGCTCACCGCAACCTCCGCCTCCTGGGTTCAGGCAATTCTCCTGCCTCAGCCTCCTGAGTAGCTGGGACTACAGGCACGCGCCACCATGCCCAGCTAATTTTTTGTGTTTTTAGTAGAGACGGGGTTTCACCATGTTGACCAGGATGGTCTCGATCTCTTGACCTCGTGATCCACCCGCCTCAGCCTCCCAAAGTGCTGGGATTACAGGCTTGAGCCACCGCGCGCGGCCAGAATCTGCATTTTAACTATATGCCTGTGCACTTTAAAGTATGAGTGCTTTAGTCTAAATCAGCATATCACAGAATGGAAAGGCGATTGAGTCATGGCCTCACCTTGTTATAGTTGGTTGCCTGGCTTAGGACAAGCCCCTAAATTGGCCTTAGTTTCTGTTTGAGGAAACTGTGGATGGAGAAACTAGATTCTCACTGAATGAGTTTCTTGCACAGACTCTGAGATCTACCGGTTGCATTTCTTCCACCTCCCAAACTTTCGGTTACTTTGTAGTTTTACCAGAAGCTGTGCTTGACCAAGAGGCAGATAACAGACCTCCAATAATGCTCCAAATGGGAGGAGGCCGTGAGGATCCCTGCCCTTACTGGGGTCCTCCCACCCTAGGAGACACTAAGGAAGTGTCTCCTACCTTACTAAGGAAGTGAGTAACTAGAGAAATGACACTATGTAGAAGATGTAAGTTCTACGACAACCATTTTCTCAGTTAATTATTCTTTTTGTTTGTTTTAAGACTAAGTCTCACTCTGTTGCCCAAGATGGAGTGTAGTCGTGCGATCTCGGCTCACTGCAACCTCCACCTTCCGGGTTCAAGGGATTCTCCTGTCTCAGACTCCCAAGTAGCTGGGACTACAGGCATAAGCCACCATGCCCGACTAATTTTTGTATTTTTAGCAGAGACGGGTTTCACTATGTTGACCAGGCTAGTCTCAAACTCCTGACCTTGTTACCACTTGCCTCCAAAAGTGCCGAGATTACAGGCTTGAGCCCCTGCGCCCAGCCGAATTATTCTTTCTTTCTTTTTTTTTTTTTTTTTNTTGAGACGGAGTTTTGCTCTTGTTACCCAGGCTGGAGTGCAATGGCGCGATCTCGGCTCACTGCAACCTCCGCCTCCCGGGTTCAGGCAATTCTCCTGCCTCAGCCTCCCAAGTGGCTGGGACTACAGGCGTGCGCCACCATGCCCACCTAATTTTTGTATTTTTAGTAGAGACGGGGTTTCTCCTTGTTGACCAGGATGGTCTCGATCAATTGACCTCGTGATCCACCCGCCTCGGCTTCCCAAAGTGCTGGGATTACAGGCGTGAGCCACCGCGCCCGGCCCTTCTTTCTTTTTTTATTTTTTTTTTACTTATTTTTTTTAAAGATGGGGTTTCACCATGTTGGTCAGGCTAGTCTTGAACTCCCGACCTCAGGTGATCCGCCCGCGTTGGCCTCCAAAGTGCTTGGATTACAGGCGTGAGCCACCACGCCTGGCCCGAATTATTCTTTCTTCTATAATAAATTGTATTGTAGTTTTCATATCATAAAATATTCTTTTGCATTTGAGAAAACTTCAAAAATACAAATAAGCCACAAAAAAAGAAAATAATCATTTGCAATTTGCCATCCAGAAATAACCATTTAATATATCAATCTTTATTTTTCTAATATTTGTTCTATGAATAAACACACATTTTAAATGGGATCATCACAAACTGTTTTGTAAACTTTTTTCATTAAAAAAATACTGTTAACACTTTTCCATGCCATTAAATATTCTAGGACATAATTTGTAATGGGTACATAGTATACCATTAGGTGAATGTACAAAAGGTATTTTGGCAAACATTGAAATTTAAATTATTTCTAGTTCTTCCCCATTAGAAATAATACTGTAAAATATTTTTGTGGTAGTAACTTTGTGCACACTCATGATTATTTCTAGAAGTGAATTAATTTCTAGAAGTGGAATTTCCCAATTTAAGATTATGAAACATTCTAAGGCTTTTGATATACTTCTTTTTTTTTTTTTTTTTTTTGAGATGGCGTCTTGCTCTGTCACCCAGGCTGGAGTGCAGTGGCGCAACCTCGGGCTACTGCTACCTCCGACTCCCGAGTTCAAACAATTCTTCTGCCTCAGCCTCCTGAGTAGCTGGGATTACAGGCACACGCCACCACGCCCAGCTAATTTTTGTCTTTTTTTGTTTAGTAGAGACAGGGTTTCGCCATGTTGGCCAGAATGGTCTCAAACTCCTGACCTGGTGATCCACCCACCTCAGCTTCCCAAAGCGCTGGCCTGGCTTATGATGTTAAACACATGGTTTGGTGTATGGAGAGGACCCTACAGGGCCCAGAACCACACCCCTCTGCCACTCCACTCCCTCACTGTGTGACTTTGGCTAAGTTATATCACCTCTCTGTGCCTCAGTTTCCTTTTCTGAAAATAGTAATAACAGTAGCACATCCCCTATAGAGGTCGTGAAGATGAAATGGGTTGATTTGTGTAAAATACATAGAAAAGTGGCTAGCACGTGGTGAGCCCTTTTTTAAAAAGTTAGTTGTGATGGCCGGGCGCGGTGGCTCACGCCTATAATCCCAGCACTTTGGGAGGCTGAGGCGGGTGGATCACGAGGTCAAGAGATCGAGACCATCCTGGTCAACATGGTGAAACCCCGTCTCTACTAAAAATACAAAAATTAGCTGGGCATGGTGGCGCACGCCTGTAGTCCCAGCTACTCGGGAGGCTAAGGCAGGAGAATTGCTTGAACCCAGGAGGCGGAGGTTGCGGTGAGCCAAGATGGTGCCATTGCACTCCAGCCTGGGTAACAAGAGTGAAACTCCTTCTGAAAAAAAAAAAAAGTTAGTTGTGATTGTGGGACTTAAAAGCATAAAGGTGGCCAGGCGAGGTGGCTCACACCTGTAATCCCAGCACTTTGGGAGGCTGAGGCGGGTGGATCATGAGGTCAAGAGATCGAGACCATCCTTACCAACATGGTGAAACCCCGTCTCTACTAAAAGTACAAAAATTAACTGGGCTTGGTGGCAGATGCCTGTAATCCCAGCTACTCGGAAGGCTGAGGCAGGAGAATTGCTTGAACCCAGGAGGCGGGGTTGCAGTGAGCTGAGATCACACCACTGCACTCCATCCTGGGAGACAGAACGAGACTCCGTCTCAAAAAAAAACCCTCAACACAGCATTCTAGGTAGTGCTACCAAATCAGAGCTGTTGTGAACTGACCTGTTTTCCATTTCCGTTTTACATCGGGGGCTGCATTATTGGCAACACCACAAGGATGTCCAATAGGCACGTTAAACTCAACTTCTCCAAAACTGATACCTTAATATTTCCCCAACAAACTAGCTCTAACTACAGGCTCATCTCAGACAATGGCAACTCCATCCTTCCAGTGGCTCAGGCCAAACACTTGGTGTCATTCCTGACTCCTCTCTTTCAAATCCCGCACACTCCATCAGCAGATCATAGAGGAGCTACTAATAATTTCAAAATATCTCCAAACTCTACTTTTTTCCTCCTCTGTTACCTCCTCTGTCCAAACTCAATTCTTCCAGGAACTTACTGGTCCCCCACATCCAACCTGCGACCCACTTTTGGTTGATTTCATGTCAAAAATACATCTCCAATCCTTTTCTCGATTTCTGCTGCTAGCCCCCAGTCCGAATTTCGTCATCTCTTACCTGGATTACAGTGGTAGCCTCCTGCCCAGTCTCCCTGATCCACCCCTTGGCCCTCCGGTCTAGTCTCAACCCATCATCCCTCAACGGCTCTCCATTTCACTTTGAGTGACTGCCACGGACCCTGCAGCATCTGTACTCCCATCCCATTTTCCACTACTCTCCCTCACTCTGCTCTGGTCACGCTGCGTGGAACACACCAGGCATACATGTTCTCTTTGCACTTGCTGTTCCATCTGCCTGGAATGTTCTGCCTCCGGATATCCACATAGTCCACTCCCTCCACTTCCTTCAGGAAATCCAAAAGTTGGATTCCTTTTACAACCTTTCCTGGCCATCCTACCTAAATGTTTAATGCCAGCTGCCTAGCCCTGACACTTCTTATGCTCTTTTACTGCTTTATTTTTCTGCTTACCACTCATCACTAGTATATCAGATATTTTACTTGCACATTCTGTTTACAGCTTGTCTACCCCCACACCACATCACCAAAACAGGATGGTATCCAGTTCATAGCAGATGTTCAATAAATCTTTATTATTTATTTACCTATTTATTTTTTGAGTCAGTGTCTCACTCTGTCACCGGGGCTGGAATGCAGTGGCATGATCACGACTCACTGCAACCTTTATCTCCCAGGCTCAAGTGATCTTCCCACCTCAGCTTCCCAAGTAGCTGAGACTATAGGCATGCACTACCACGTCTGGTTCAATAAATCTTTTTTGAGTTGATGAATTAAACAAACTGGATATAAGAAAAACACCAGCATACACCACATGATAAATGGCAACGCACATGTGGTAAGGGAGCTGATGGCGCCAGACACAGTAGATAGCAGATGTCCCATACAAAGCCCAAGAGGTGCTGCTTAGCTTCAGACTTTTGCTACACCATGTGGTAATGAGCGTGACCTTAGATTCCCTGCTTTCCCAAAATAATATTTCTTAGAGCAGCAGTAGTGGCTCATGCCTGCGATCCCTGCACTTTGAGAGGCTGAGTTGGGAGGATCACTGAGGCCAGGAGTTCAAGACCAGCCTAGGTAACATTGTGAGACCCCATTACTAGAAAAGAAAAAGGCCAGGAGTGGTGGCTCATGCCTGTAATTGCAACACTTTGGGAGGCTGAGGCCTGGCCAACATGGTGAAACCCCATCTCTACTGAAAGTACAAAAATTAGCCAGCCATAGTGGCGCACACCTGTAATCCCAGCTACTCAGGAGGCTGAGGTAGGAGAATCACTTGAACCTGGGAGGCAGAGGTTGCTGGAAGCCAAGATCGCACCACTGCACTCCACCCTGGGGAACAGAGGGAGACTGCGCGTCAAAAGAAAAACAATTTCAGCCGGGTGCGGTGGCTCATGCCTGTAATCCCAGCACTTTGGGAGGCCGAGGCAGGTGAATCACCTGAGGTCAGGAATTCAAGACCAGCCTGGCGAACATGGTGAAACCCTGTGTCTTCTAAAAATGCAAAAAAATAAATTAGCCAGGAGTGGTGGCAGGCACCTGTAATCCCAGCTACTCGGAAGGCTGAAGCAGAGAATTGCTTGAACTCGGGAGGCAGAGGTTGCAATGAGCCAAGATCATGCCACTGCACTCCAGCCTGGGTGACAGAGCAAGACTCCATCTCAACAAAAAAAAGAAAAAAAAGAAAAGAAATTTCTTAAAAATCTTTATTCTTGGCTGGGCGCAGTGGCTCACACCTGTAATCCCAGTACTTTGGGAGGCCGAGGTGGGTGGATCACGAGGTCAGGAGTTTAAGACCAGCCTGGCCAAGATGGTGAAACCCCATCTCTACTAAAAATATAAAAATTAGGCAGGCGTGGTGGTGGGCACCTATAATCCCAGCTATTCGGGAAGCTGCGGCAGAAAATCTCTTGAACCCAAGAGGCAGAGGTTGCAGTGAGCCAAGATCGTACCACTGTACTCTAGCCTAGGCGACAGAGCAAGACTCTGTCACAAAAGAAAAAAAATCTTTATTACTTCAGTTGAAAAACAGTAACAAAACCATGCAAGGCATACATAAAGGGTCTATGCACTGGGTGTGAGGGACAGAAAGTAGTTTACAATTTCTAGCTTATAAGCTGCTTGGGGCTGAGCGCGGTGGCTCACGCTCGTAATCCCAGCATTTTGGGAGACCAAGGCAGGTGGATCACGAGGTCAGAAGTTCAAGACCAGCCTGGCTAAGATGGTGAAACCCTGTCTCTACTAAAAATA